GGTACTTTATTATTACTTCACCACAATCATTTATATATATATATATATATATATATATATGTATATATATATATATGTATATATATATACCATGATTCATCGGTTAGCCTTATAATTTAATGAAAAATTAAAAAAAATCTGGATCATGATTATCCCTTTGGCAGTTAGGTCAGATTAGGACACTTATTGTCCCCAAACGCCCTAGTATGGCCGAGAGCGGGGTGGGTTCGCCCTCCCTCTCGAAATACTCTCACACGGCCGCGCGTATACAGCCTCTGCCAGGGAAGTCCTACTCACTGCCTTCTCGTGGCGGGGTCGTTGTTTACGAAAATGAGAGGACGAAGAGCGAATGTCCGGCGCTTTAACCGGATCCCAAACCAATGGTGCACATGGGCTCCAGTATCCTGCGGGAACAAATGGCGTATGAACCAATTTTCGGTCACCGGCTACCATGGGACTGCATCTCCTTACGATGCTCCACTGCCTTGTGGGTTAGACCTTTAGGTCAAAGGCTCGGGGTGTGGCCCCCTAAGATAACCACCTGCTTCGGTCTGGGCACCCGGGCAGTATCGCAGCCCACACGCAATTAATGAACTGAAATTGTGTGGCGCATATATATTTGGCGCACTCCTGTACCAATATATATGTGTTCTAGTAATAATAATAATAAAGGACACTTATTATGCTTCAATAGAGATAGTTTCATTTATTCAATTGTTGATCAGTGTTTTAATTTTAATGATAACCACTTTATCAGTAAATTATGTGAATAAAAGCAATTCAAGAGTCTATTCAGGTTATACATACCGTATATATATATATATATATATATATATATATATATATATATATATATATATATATATATATATATATATATATATATATATATATACTACTTTCAATTATCTTTCTCTAGTTAAAACAAACTTAATGAATAGATTGTTAATTGATTTTTCGTATTCTTACAATCACCAGATGAAGTAGTACGATAGTTAATATCATCATTAATTCTTCTTATCTTTTATTAAAATTAAAATATTGTTCTTGAGCATTTCCAACTACCGATTTTGTCACTGTTCCTATTACTGGTGATAGTAGTAGTAGTATTTTTATTTGATGTAGTTTGTCTAACATCTGAAAAAATTTCAACTCTATTCTATCGATACTATATTCAATACAGACAATAATATCACTAATTGTACCCACTTCTTCTAATTTCCCTATCTCTTATATGTGCTATTGTCATTTCCTTGTTTGCTGTTTGCTTTTTTTCGGTTTATACAAATGTTTATTTGATTGGTTTTTGGATGAGATTAACGTGAATATATGATTCAGTAATTTCTTGATAATACTTCTAATATATAAGTGTTATCACTGGGTAGGCTTACTGAGAATAAAGTTTTTGCAGACAAATAGAAAATGTAGTTTATTGTTGTAAAGTAAAATAATGAACAATCATCTTATCGTCTAATGAATGTTAGGCAAAATACATTGTGATGAGTTCAACTGTACACTTGAACTATAAGAATTTTAAATCGAAAAAATTCATTAGTGTTTCAAATATTCAGTAATGCTAATTAGTATTCTGTAATGAAGAACAGACATTTTGTGGATTGAAAAGCATCTACTTGATGGTTTTCTAATGACTAATTAGTTAGTCTATAAAGTTTCATTTCACTGATCACTGATTATAGGTTTATGCTAGAGGATGATCAGGTATTAATCTATTTGAACAATTGTAACGACAAATTTCCTCTTGCTTAAAATATTTCTGCTACTCAAACACTCGATGATGACTGCTCCTACAATGGATTTCTAAGAGTAGAGAAAAAGCGTGAAGTAGGAACGGAACCTTTAATTCATATTGCATTTCTGTACAGAAAACAATAGTATTTTCCGGTTGAAAATAACATTTTTTTCCCCGGAAACTTGTTGATCTATGCTAAATCTTGTATTCTAATAAGTAATCACCCAATCGCAATGTGACAGATATTCTATCAGTGTTCTAGAATTTTTCATGCTGTGTGCTAATTGGACGATATATTCTCAGATTTTCCCAGGCTTCCGAAGACATTATCAAAGAATTATCGAAAGATCCCAGTATTTTTGACAGGTAGTAAACGATAAAATACCCTAAAATCTCTCTACAGATCCTTTTATATACCGTATTGAGTGAATTTTAACATTTATAAATTCCAGGTTTTAATTTGTTTTATTTTGTAAAGACCATACTAGAAGCTATAGCTCGTTTACACGTTTTTCAATACTTGTCATACTGTTTAAGTGGTCCACGTCAACCAACAAGTTACAGATTTAAATATTTCGTCTTCTCCGAGTTTTGTCTTTCACTTATTACAAATGCTCAGAAAAATGACTATTACAGTGGTAGCTCGATCGTAACTTCCTTTTACAATATAAATATATACATATGGTTGAATTAAATGGAAATCCTCAAATAATAGTTCGTTTTATCTGGAGAAAGATAGGTATTAAGATCGCATTTCCTGCTTGTTGTTGCGATAGTACTTATCAGAGAAAATACGAAATTCCCCCTTCCCTTTCCTCCCTCCCTCTCTTTATATATATATATACCGAACGAATAAGCATACAATACTTATCGATGTGACTTATTTTCATACATATCGTTTGAGCTCATTGCCCGCTGATTTTTCTTAACTAAAAAAAGTTAAAGTAAATATTATCAAACTCGTCAGTATGACACTTATCAGAAGTCAGTAATGTCTTACATACTTAAGTAAATAACGTATTATCTTTTGTCAACCCGTCTACATTTTAACCGATTTGAATGTTCAGTATAGATCAGTAGCTTGAGATAGATAACATGAAATTCATAAGTTTAAAAAATTACTTGATCATCATCATTAATAATAAACTTCAATTAGTTTTTAATAAATTTCGCTCTTCATAGAACATGAAAATCTTTTATAGAATATATATACGTATTTAGTTATAGTTGATTTTGAACCATGATTTTGGTTGTTATCCAATTTCGGTCAATTAGACTACCAATTCGAAAAGATCACCAAAAAATATCGTGAAATTAACATAATGATTTAATTAATAGATTAATTTTCACAAAATATTTTACTCGATTGTATTATACTAGCTTTTCCTACTTTGCTATGATTACTTACTTGCGTACTTACGCCTGTCACCCCCGTCTACCAGTATTCTCTATTGGACTTTGTTCTGAGCGATCTTTTTTAGTTGTTTCTAGTTTCTATGTATTCTTTTCATGTCAACTGCCAATTCTCGACTCAGTGTATTCTTTAGTCTTCATCTTTTCCTTCCGCTTTAGGATTCCAAGTTAGCGCTTGCTTCATGATGCAGTTTGATGATTTCCTTAATGTTTATTCTATCCACATCTAACGTCTTTTACTAATTTCTTCTTCAGCAGGAAGTTAGTTTGTTTCCTCCCATAGTAGGCTGTTCCTGATGGTTTCCGACCAACAGACATTGAGTATCTTGTGTCGACAACTGTTTATAAATGCTTGTACATTTTTGATGACGACTGTTTTAGTTCTCGAAGTTTCAGCTCTGTATAGCATAACTGTCTTCAAATTAATTATTCTAAAATTCATGGATTACAGCAAAAGCATAAAAAATAAATTTCCATTTTAGTTGAAAAAATAAAAAATTTATGATAAATGAAACTTATAACAGATCAGATAATTGTAACATATTTTACGATTAAGGGTATGATTTAATACCATATATCGTTGAAACAATATTGAGTCACTTAATGTTTTATATTACATAATGTTTTATTACACTTGAACTGATCTCAGTAACTAGAATTTATCAGGACTTCATGTTTTAACAAATAATGACTGATATAAATTTGGCGCTCAGGATCTGTTAAATAACTCGTTAACGTAATATATATATATATATATATATATATATATATATATATATATATATATATAATTCTTATATATAGCTACTATGGCGAGACTCTGATTGATGGGCGAGCCAATCAGAAACGTTTTAGAGATTTCAAGGTTACGGCGCCAGCTTCAGTGCTTAATGCTACGATCGGTTCACAGGGAATTTTGTACAAAACGGGATAATTGAGCGACTATAACAAATGAAACGGCAAGACAACAATTTGCGGACGAATCAATCAAGTAAAAGATAACAGATCTCGGATTTTAACGTGAAACCCTTTCATCCATTTGGCTAAACAAAATTCTGGCATTAAAGCCGATGAAAACCCCATATATAATTCCTAACTGAGGCAAATTATCGCGAACTGGATAATAAAAGTACAAGTAACACTGGCTGCAGCCAGATACTACAATATATACAGATGTTTGGAGAGCATGCATCATGTCGTTATTCATAAGTAGCATTTTGGGCACTCAACAACCGGAGTGCACATAAACAATATTGAAGCTATGTGGTCGAGGCTGAGAGAGTTTTTGAGACTTTATTATGGCTTCAGAGGTCAACTATTCTGTAGTCATTTGGATGATTTACTCTTCTGCATGCATTACGATTTTAGAACCTCTTTCTAATCTTGACAAGTTTTTGAACCACGTATAAGAAGTGTATCTACTTTATTTTCTTGGTTTTCTATAATATATTTTTACTCTATACTAACTGTTTTCTGATTGACTAATATTCTCAAGGTTACTTAAAATTCGTTCAAAGGTCGTCCATTAATTAGAGTCACACCGCTACTATTTCACTGTACCCTCAACTAAAATATGATCAAATTAATTGATCAGGTTATCAAATATAAATTTGTACACAACCATTTAATAAAAAGTTATTAATGAAATTTTTATTAACATCTTTAAAAAAAATTTTTTATTAAAGGAATAATTTTTTGTTTGAATTTTTTATTTTAGATATAAAACAAAAAAAATATTTTTTGAAAAAAAAAAAATCAAAAACTGAGATTTTGGGAATTTACGTTTACGGTTTTTTTCCACTTTATACAATAAATTATTTGAACAAATACAAATATAATGGATAATTTAAATGGATCAATTGAAAATACAACAATAAATATTACAGATGATATTGATTTACCTGGTCTACGTGTACCTGATATGAAACGTATTAAAAATGCGCGTAAAGAACGTGCAAATCAATTAAAAGAATGGCAAATTTATGATAAAAAAATGCAAAAAGAATCAGAAAAATTACAAAAAAAAGGATTATCTCCATTAAATGATAGAAAACATTATAATTCTAACCGATTTGTAAAATTTCCTCAAAGTTTAATATTTTTAGAAGCTGCTGCACGAGGAGATCTAGATGAAGGTAAGTGTTATTAGAGAATATTATCTATTTAAAAATAATTTACTCCTTTATGTAATGAATCATTTTGTAAAACTATAAATAATGGAGATTTGTGTAGATTATTCAGTTAGGACATACTGAAAATCAGGGATGATGATTTAGCAATATCTTAAAGTTTACTGAAACCAAAATTATAACTTACAAGATCTCAACACAGTGGCCTAAAAATAATTCACTTAACATGAGTGTTGAAGGTCTTGAGTCTGTTCCCCAGTGGTGTACATGAGTCTTAACAGCTAACCTGTTTCGTACTGGAATGAAACAGTTATTAAGTTTTTCCTGATTTTCAATGGCTGATTCGTCAAAATCAATTCGCAAGATATGGTAAAAAATGTATATCCTGATGAACATTTGTTTTACTTTAGTTGTACAATATCAATTATGTTTTCTTATTTTTCAAGATTTTATTGAATGTCACAATTCTATATTGATTTTTAGATAAAAGAAATGTCATATACATTTACGTGGTAATTTATAGCCAGTGATTATTATTATTATGTTCTTGTTAACCTTGTCACTAAGGAACTGATCAGGAAATTATATTAGTTCAATATTATGAAAAATTTACAAATGGTTTATTGATCAGTAGATATTATTAACAATCCTATAATTAGTGTATTTCTTTACTGATACCTGTCCGCAGTAATAAAAATAATTTTATCTTCTAAGAGATGTTATCATGATTATTATAGGATCTTTGTTGTTTTTCAATGTGTCACTAATTTATTGCTCTTCAAAGACATAAATTTATTTAAACATTTAGTTAGTAATATTCATCGAAAAATATAGTTCCATATTTTTAAAAAGTATTTAAGTATAATGTACTTGTTTAATATCGATTAACCCAGCAGAATGTCGTAGAGATAAGTTTTATCAAACCGATCAATAATTGAAGCTAGAACACCGTATAAAACCTGGAAGAACTGGACAGTTGTTTTATCCTAGCATGGGATTTCTCAGCGGTGTGCATTTACGATCCCGCCCCGCGAGATTTGTTCGCGTGTGAGACTGACAAGTCCTGGATTTGAATCTCGCAAGGAAGGGTCATGGATGTGCATAGCTGAGGAGTCTCACAATAAGACGTAACGGCTCTCCAGCGCTCTCAGGTTTTCTATGGTGGTCTAGCTTCAAATGACTCATGAATTCAATGATTAAATTACTACGATCTCCACAAAACCCCTCTCCGATTATTGTTTTCACGAGTTTAGGACTTAAAAAAAACAAGGGTTTATTATTTTTGTGAATAATGTCACCATGTTTCATGAATTTTTTTCGCCTATTCGTTATGAAGGTTGATTCTTTCTTTAGATGTTTAAATAAAATTGTAACTGATTGAGATAGAATTTATGAACGTGATCATTTGATAATTCGAAGAAGATGTTTAAATGTAATTTAAGTTCATAAATTAAAAAAAATAATCAGCCATAAAGTTCTAAAGTGATTAAATATATTTCAGTTTAATGATCACATGAATTCTGTGTTAGAAGCTGTTAACATTGTGAATTACTACAAAGATCATCAAATTTATCTTTATCAAAGTATTCAACTGACTTTTCTTATGTAATATTTCATTCTTTGAAAATGATGGTTCAATAGTGAAACTTTCATTGTTTGTTTAGACAGAGTAAACATAGTTTATGATGATAATGATGAGAATCAAAGTCTCACAAATAAATCATCTGATTTTGAAAAACAAACACTGTTTTTTTACTGAATATATTTCCAGGAATTGATTGACACCTTGGAAAACAAAACGAAGTTTATCTGCCAACTAACTTAGTAATATAAACGAATGATACATTTTGGTACATTTTTACAACTAATTGTAATCTTAACGTAGTTGGTTAAACTCATATGTTCTCTTTTTTCTTATTTAACGTCTTAAAATAGTTTTATTGTATTTTAGCAATAATCTTTTATTCCATGGTTATAGAACTATCAGTCGAAACAACTATTGAAAATTCTTTTTAAAAAAATGTGTAGTTACATTCGTTATTAATGATTCCTTTTTATTTAACGTAAACACTGCTAATATTTGGAAATAATTAAACCTGTTAGTTTCCATGTAATTGAACAGAAAGTAAAAAAACGTGCAAAGAATTTATCGTATTCGGCAAATATTGTTGTTTCTACTTTGTTCAAATATGGAAAGGGGAATCAAATGCATGAAACTAATATAATCTTTCTGCTCCTTTTATGAAACACGTTTTCTTCAAAACCATGTATACTGTTTTGCTACTTTTCAATATATACGATCCATTCTTACCACGTATATTAAAGTAAATACAGATATATAGAGATGTATTTCATTGGACTATGGTTTTAAAACATAAATCATAGATTAGATATTTCTATATAGGAATAATAAACGTCATATGGTATCGTATGAGATGGTACTTATTTAGTTGAACAGTTCGTCGATATGATCTCAACAACGATCAAGAATTCAATATATAACAAATCTATTAAATCAGACTAAAATTCAAACATTTTATTGTTTCCATTCCTATGTAATTTAGTGTAACTTAATATGTTTAGAAAATTCACCCAAAATAAGTAAGTGATAATCTATTTAAATTTCAAGCACAGTTACTAACGTTAAAAGTCTAATTATCTTTAGATAATGTAAGCCTATAACTTCATATTATTTGAAATAAGGGAATTGGGGAATGTTGATGAACTACATTTTAAATTGCACCTTTGGATTCAACTTCCATGTTCAAGATGATAGTATATATATTGTGAAGTAAATTTTAAAATAGTAAATCAACTAGATATATGACGTATATGGTCATCAACACGACAATGCTATCAGTAGGTTGAACGTCAGACAAATAAATATTGCTTGGCAGTACTTGTCTGAGATGACGGTATTTTTATGTCCTATCTATTAGTCTAAAAGTCTTAAGCAGAATCGTTTTCACCTTAGTATTCCATACTTGTCTTCAAGTTTTGAATGACGATTACAATTGTTATGGCTAGAGCAAATTCTAGATCTGTATTTTGTACGTAAGCATTTATTAGAGCAAAGAATTCAGTGACGTGGATACATTTTAGGATGTGACACAGAATCCGTTTTACAAATTGTGGGGGCTGGTATTATGTCAAACCCACATAATTTATTCTAGCCTCTGGACAGATAAATCTATTCATTCATCTCAAGCCGCATTCTTACCCTGTCAATTATTCGCTTATTAATTCTGAATGCTTTTTTATATAAGAGTATTTGTATACATTTCATGTCTTGCTTATCACGTGTTTCTAACTTATTTTTGTGTGACTATAAATATGACTCACCCTTGGTTAGACTGAGTTGGCTCACTCGCCTCCATTGAGCGCCATCTTGTGTTGCTTCGCTTTCCAATCAACGATATTACGAAATATACGTATTGAAAAATACATTCTCGTTTTTGACTTATTTAATTCCGTTATTCATCAACGCGACTTAAGTCGATGATTGTATATGAGAACTGGCGGCATGTATATTTTGATGACAAGCAGAAACGATCTACTTGGAGTCAGATCTCGGGCCACTATATATAATAGTAGTTTTTAATGTTTAAGTTGGTGATATTCCAGAATTATCTTATTTCTAACAGATTTAAACTAACATCTAACATATACTTCAGTGCTTTCATTGTTCCCTTATTATTTCTTCACATTGTCCTTTACTTATTTTTTGTATGCACTGCATTTTGCTGATAATCATGTCTCTTCTATCTCTTGAACAGACAATTAATAAAAAATCGTCTGCATTTGTATATGAAAAGTTGAAAAGGTTTCATTGCTTAGGTGCTTTTATCATCTTCATAAAGATTAGTCCAATGACAGTAGCTGTTTATAAAAGAAACATTACACATATCATTAATATAGTAAATAGTAATCTAATTACTAACAAGATACTATAGACATTCCTTTTTGTTGATAGTTCAGAGAAAAAGAAACTAAAGTTCATTAATACTTGACCTCTAGACCATTGAGCCGGGATCTAGAAGTTAAACGTTCACCTCAATGTTGAAGTAAATGACTTCCTGACAGAAAAAACTGAGTAATGATGAATAAAATAGCCCAAATGCTTCAACGTTAGTATTTAGTTATTTTTATGGAATTATTATATCCATATCAATGTTGTTGGTCGGTGAATAACTTACTGTGCTCACTTTGATTGTATTCACTGCAAAGAAGTCATATATTGTACAGCATTATTTGTAACTGTGTTAATTGAAAATATAAATGAGAAAACAATTGGCAGCTTAACTGAAACAATTAATCATAAATCTCTTGAGGATTTGAAACGTTTTTTTGAAGTGGATGACTTATCTGATATCATAAGTGTCAATTTGAAAGAAATCTTACAAGTCCTTTTTAGTGTACACTGCTGAACTCACTCTCAAGTACTTAGAAACTCCTTATCCCAAAATAAACGTATTTAACAAACAGATAGAAATAACTTATCTATCTGTCTCTCATAAGTGTTTTATTTAAAACTGAAGTCATATGTTGTGTACTCATACGTTTGGTTTTTATGTCATGCACTCACTTCTGTGGAGAATTAACCACTTTTAAGCTCTTCATTCTAGCTGAAAAACATAACTAATTAGTGTTTACTGTAGTTTCGATGAACAAATTGAGTGTGTGATAGCGGCACAAATGTTTCCCATCATTTTTGTTTACATTTTAAAATCATTTGTCTTTATTTCATAAGGTCATAAATTGAAAGCTTTTATAAATTTAGTCTGTTCAATGTCAAATTCACGTTATTTTTCAATTATACTGTTTTTATTATGGCCAGTTGAATAACAACCATTTCGTGCCAATCAGTGTTAAATAATCAATCGTGACTTGATTCACAAAATGAAATCGATCGAAATGGCAAAATTTTGTTTACATTGTGCTTGTATGTTATACTATAGCTGAAATGTACAAAATGATAGGCTTTTCAGTTATAAGATACTGAAATT